CGCGTGGCTGCCTTTTGGTCCTGGTTGGTAACACCAACCGGGACTAAAGTTCCTTCTCCCTAGCCGCCCACGGTGGCCACATGGACCTCCTTTGGTCCCGGTTCGTAAGCCAACCGGGACTAAAGGTTTTGAGCATTAGTCCCGTCTGTTTTGTCCCATTCCAGAACCGGGACTAAAGGCCCTTTGGAACCGGGACTAGTACCCTGTTTTCTATTAGTGGAAAATAGAAGTTCACCGTTATTTTAGGAGCAATAGAAGAGGAAGCAAACTTGAAAAGACCCATCCCATTAGAGAACGGCGTTTCGGTGCCCGGGTACATCTGCACCCGGTCAAAAAAAATCATACAAAATTCAGAAAAATTCAAAAAATTCCAAGAAAAATTTGGGTGGTAGATAATTTGATGCGTGAGGTACGCTCCAATTTTTAAAACATTTGGACTTCTGTGCAGCTCTCAGCAAAAAAGACAAATCAGACCAGAACAGTATATGAACGGTACACATTTTTACAGACCTCCGATTTGTCTTTTTTGCTGAGAGCTGCACAGAAGTCGAAATGTTTTGAAAATTGGAGCATACCTCACGCATCAAATTGTCCACCACCCAAATTTTTTTGGAATTTTTTGAATTTTTCTAGTATTTATTTTGATTTTTTTCGTGAGCGCAGGTGCAGATGAGCTCGGGCTCAGATTCGAATTTTCCCATCACACACATATATTTCTCGGTGGAAGCCATATATTTTTTAAAATCCAGGTTTTACCTACCCTCTTGAATGGCTGCAAATTCCAATCGCTGAACCACCTAACTAATGTACTGTGCAAAGTCTGGCCCATGTGCAAAAAATTCAAACACCAAGCTTGAACGGCACTTCAGCCCCCAAATTGAAAATTACGAAAATTAATTAAGCTTATATTAACAAAAGAAAATGTTATTCTCTAGCTCTAGCTGGGTAAATGCTGGGTGCAATTATTGGGAATTTTAGCATAGAGATCTGTTGCAAATGGACGACGAAAGCCATGAACTGTTGCATATAGGGCGATAAGCAGTAGAAAATGAAGGCTTCAACGCATTGGGATCTAAAAACAAGGGTGACACTAGCTAAATCCATGTTAACTGTACCGGTAAGAGAGAGCACCAATGAGATCACCAGCCAGAGCCTAAAAGACCACCCCAAGCTGAACTATATAGTTACTATACTCAGTTACTCACACTGTATTCTAGGCAAATGGTGCAGTTAACCTTGGATCACAGCACCACACTTTTTCTTAATCCCCATGAGATTAGCCATGATTAAGGTCAATGCTCTTGCATTTGTTTACTGTGTTGATATGTTGATTCCCAAAGAATTCCATGCAAGTAGTCCACTACTGAACGTGCATGTGTGTGGAAGAGGGAAATCTTGGATCGAGGGGGAGATATTTCTAAGTCATAGTCCAAGCTTTGCAGGTCCAGCCCAGTTTTTGATGATAGATCTGACTAACTAGCAACAAATTATTGGTTTTATTAAAAAATTAATTCTGTTTAAAAATGTTTTTTGTTGAATAAATTCTCTTTCTAACCACTCTGACTACTCTAATTCATATTTCTGTGACATAATTACATAACTACTACTCCCTCCATTTGGAATTACTTGTCATAAAAATGGATGTATCTACAACTAAAATACATCTAGGTACATTCCTTTCTTTGATGAGTAATTCCGAACAGAGGGAGTAATTAATAACAAGTACACCGCCAAAATTAAATGGACTTCTTTCTAGCAGGAAATTCTGACTTTGTGTAGAAGACACATGGGGCCGCCATGTCCTCCACCTCTCACCAAATCTCTTTACATGGATTCAAAGACATACTCCCTCCGTTCGGAATTACTTGTCATAAAAATGGATGTATCTATAACTAAAATACATTTAGATACATTCCTTTCTTCGACAAGTAATTCCGAACGGATGGAGTATATATGTATGAGCGATTATGACTGAACTTCCTCTGACGGACGGCCCTACAGGACTGAAATTTGGTCTGAAAGCGATTCCTTGCTTGACGACAGTCTCTCTATCCATAATAATGGGCGGAGGCGACGACGCCGCCGACGAGGACTGGCAGGAAGCTTCATCAATGTCGGAAGTACGCGTTCGACGACGTCCATAACACAGTCTAGACGCACGTCCTAGTTATAACTGGCCTCCAGACAACAACAGCATGTTGCACACGTTGAAGCCAATTCCACACACATAAATCTGAGTCTCCTGTCCTCCGATATATGTTTTTTTCTGGCTCTCTGCAAGTCTTCACCAAAGAGTGCGGCTATGTTTGACATTTCTGACGCTGACCGCCTAATCAGCGTAGGTAAGCACCGGCGTACGGCGTTTGTTTATGCCAAATATCTAGCTAGTCTAAACAGGGCGCGGAGGGGAGGTCGAGGCCATGGTCTAGGCGTCTAGCTACCTGCCTATATATACAAGGCCATGGCAAGGCTGGTCCTCGGCTAGACAGAAGAAAGGGTTGGAAGCAGGCTAGACACGCTAGAGAGGAGGAAGACGATAGCTGGTCTTCTGCGGAAGGGGGGCGAGATGATCAAGGGAGACCAGAGGCAGCTTGGCGGCCATGAAGAGCGATTGAACAACGAGGTTTGGAACTGATTAATTTCTTCTGTTGATTTTGTGCTTTTATGTATGCTCTCAAACAAAAGATTTTGATTTGTCTTGAATGGTTGTTTATTTATTTGGATAAGTATGGTTAGGAATAGTGGTTAGGACTTGTCTGAGTTTCTGATTCTCTCTTCTCTGGGCTGTGGTTCTTGAATCTTGATCCAAGTATGGAAATCAGGGACTTCTCTTTCTCATGTCAAAATCAATCAGGGGTGATCATCTTTAGGGACCACAGATCTTGGTGCACGTAGAACAGTCAAATTAAACATGTGGATAGGCCAAATAGATTTTTCCACAGCTTGCTTGTCATCCAATAAATTCGTGGTGTTATTAATTGTTTGGGCATCTGGCTAATATAGACTTTCATGTTTGTATTGCAGATAAGAGATGATCATCAGGCCTCGGATGGCAACTTCTTCAAGTTCTTGCAAAACCAGTCAAGCTCAAAAAAAGAGGTAGATAATTATCAAACATGTTTAAACACTTTTCCGAAAAAAAACATGTTGAACAAGCATAGCCAACAGAAATTTTCATCGTTGCCTACATGAGGGAGGATCTGGTACTTACATATATGATTTTGTTGCTTTTACTTCCGAAGTGGCAGTAAAATCTAGTTAGTATCCTTTAAAATTATTAATTACCCTGAAATTCCTCAGCTAATACACAAAAAAGAACCTACACCTGTTAGGTATTTATATTTTCCTACATTTTTGTTCCTCTTCCAAAAGTACAAAATTTGTTAGTTTCCAGTAGTCAAATACATACTAACATACACACCAAGCCAAGTGGCCAAGTGGCCATTATCATATGTGATAATTTGCTTCACCAATGAGTATATCAATTAATAATGGGTCCCGCTGTTGTGATGCTTTCATTGATTCAGGCTCAAGAAGACAAGATAGCATCCACAAGGGCAGAGATGGGAGAAGTGAGAAAAGAGAACGAGAGGCTGAAGGCGATGTTGTCACGGATGGTGGACGACCATCGAACCCTTCAGAAGCAGTTCGATGTTCTCCACCAGCAAGGGCGAGGCAAGAACCTCGCCGTGGGCTCAGCGGAGCACACATCACTAGTCGACGGTGTTAAGGATCCAAGGTTCATCTCTTTGCGCCTCGGAACGAGCACCGGCACGAGCAAGCACAACTACATGGGAGAAGAGATCAAGGGCAACACTAATAATCCAGACGACATAGCTGTTGGTGCAAGAACTGATGGAGGTGAGATAAAGGTGCGGCCGGATGTGGTGACATTGAGCCCTGGAGGCAGCTCCGAGGAGGAGGCCGCAGAGACGACGACAACGTCAGTGGCAAGCAAGACCGAGAAGAACCCGAGGAGCACGGATTCCGAGGATGACGTGGCTCAGCAGCCGCTGGCTAAGAAGGCCAGGGTCTCGGTGAGGGCAAGGTGTGACACACCAACGGTAAGTACGTACATGTACTTAAATACGTACACACGAAGGACTAAGAAATTAAACACGAATGACTAAGAAATTAAACGTTAAATGAATGAGATGAAAATCCCTATGTGTATATGATTTGAATGTACGGTTTGTTGGCCTTCAGATGAATGATGGGTGCCAGTGGAGGAAGTACGGGCAGAAGATATCCAAGGGGAACCCGTGCCCACGCGCCTACTACCGCTGCACCATCGCAACGGGATGCCCCGTCAGGAAGCAGGTATGATATGCATTGCATGATCAATATGTCACAAAATAATCTCAACATATGGTGGCGCCATACAAAATAGGTGGCGAGAAGTGTGCTCTGCAAACCAAACTTAGGCAAGAAGCATACTCCCTCCGTCCCGAAATAAGTGTTTAAACACCGCGATGCTACTTAATTAGTACTTCTCTGATCTGTAAGGTTCACGCACTTTTAGTAAAAACTTGATCATTAATTTAATCGACAAAATATTAGTGGTATAATCCGGGTATATAATTCATATTATTTTGATAAAATTACTGATAAGAGGTTTATTAAAATGTGTGCGCCTTTTGCGAATTTGTACTGGCATGGAGAGACTACTTAAGAATGTGAGCTTAGATGCAGAAGTTGGTGCCCGCTAAAAATGCATTATACAGTCTCTATTAGAGGTTCAGTAAGTATTACCAAGTGGCATGAGCGCCGGGGATCGGATTCAGAGATCGATCGGAGAGCCTGACCTGATCACGAGCGCCTCTCCTGCCTCGGCCGGGTGCACCGTCGCCATCGGGCGCTCTCTGGTTTCCTCCTCTCGCTTTCCCTCACTGGTGGAAAAAGGGCCTTTGGTCGCGGTTCGCAACTGCCATTAGTCGCGGTTGCGCAACCGCGACCGAACGGGCGCGACTAAAGGCCCCCCCCTTTAGTCGCGGTTGCTTAAGAACCGCGACTAAAGGCCCGTCCACGTGGGCGCCAGGTGGCCGTCGGGGCGGACGACCTTTAGTCGCGGTTCTTGTGGCTAACCGCGACTAAAGGCCGCCAAAACCGGTCACCCATCCCTCTCACTACTCCAGCCCAAGCACGCTTAACTTCCGGGTTCTATTCTCCCACGCTCCAAGTCTGCACTTGTTGTTTTCCTGACAATAATAAGATGTCAATCCTATTAACCTTCAGGAATTTTGCTTGAGCATGAAGTGACACATTTCACTGTTTGAGTTTGAAACTATAGTTTTAAAAAACAATAATTATTTAGTAACACTAATATTTCTTGAATAATTAGTTTGACCATTGTTTGACCACAGTTTGACCACAGTTGACCACAGTTTGACCAGATTTGACCAAAATTGAAATAATTAAAATAATTATTTAGTAACACTAATATTCTAGAATAATTAGTTTGACCATTGTTTGACCATAGTTTGCCCACTGTTTGAATATTTTTCAATTTTTTCCACTCTAGATCTTACAAGCCCCGTAACTTTTTTTCTATTAGGTTTTTGAGGATTTTGAAAATGTTTAACGGGCTTCCCCCCGTTAAATTTGGATGTAACTTTTCGAGTAGATGATTTTTCATATAAAAAACTTTTTCATCCGAGTTAGTATGCAAAAGTTATGCCCATTTTTACAAATTTCAGAGAGATTTTGCAAATAAAGTCAAAATTCACATTTGCAAATTTTCCCAACAACTAGACCACATATCACATGAG